ATGCATTTTCACTATATAATCAATAGAGCCCCGCCCTAACACCAGAACCCCTGACCCTGCGGCCATGAATTTCACAATTTTGGAAAAAGCAATCATTGCTTGTCATAATCATGCACTTAGTTTGTTTAAATAACATCCAGGAGCAGAGAAGAAGATTTTCAAAGAATTCATGCTTTTTCACTATATAATCAATAGAAACACCCCCCCCCCCCTAACCCCAGACCCAGGGGCCATGAATTTCACAATTTTGGAAGAGGCATCATTGCTTGTCATAACCATGCACTTAGTTTGTTTAAATAATACCCAGGAGCAGAGAAGAAGATTTTCAAAGAAATAATGCATTTTCACTATATAATCAATAGAGCCCCACCCTAGCACCAGAACCCCTGACCCTGGGGCCATGAATTTCACAATTTTGGAAGAGGCATCATTGCTTGTCATAACCATGCACTTAGTTTGTTTAAATAATACCCAGGAACAGAGAAGAAGATTTTCAAAAAGTTCATGCTTTTTCACTATATAATCAATAGAGCCCCACCCTAACACCAGAACCCCTGACCCTGGGGCCATGTATTTCACAATTTTGGAAAAGGCATCATTGTTTGTCATAATCACGCACTTAGTTTGTTTAAATAATACCCAGGAGCAGAGAAGAAGATTTTCAAAGAGTTCATGCTTTTTCACTATATAATCAATAGAGCCCCGCCCTAACACCAGAACCCCTGACCCAGGGGCCATGAATTTCACAATTTTGGAAAAGGCATCATTGCTTGTTATAACCATGCACTTAGTTTGTTTAAATAATATCCAGGAGCAGAGAAGAAGGTTTTCAAAGAATTCATGCTTTTTCACTATATAATCAATAGACCCCCCCCCCCCCCAACACCAGAACCCCTGACCCAGGGGCCATGAATTTCACAATTTTGGAAGAGGCATCATTGCTTGTCATAACCATGCACTTAGTTTGTTTAAATAATACCCAGGAGAAGAGAAGAAGATTTTCAAAGAAATAATGCATTTTCACTATACGATCAATAGAGCCCCGCCCTAACACCAGAACCCCTGACCCAGGGGCCATGAATTTCACAATTTTGGAAAAGGCATCATTGCTTGTCATAACCATGCACTTAGTTTGTTTAAATAATACCCAGGAGCAGAGAAGAAGATTTTCAAAGAAATAATGCATTTTCACTATATAATCAATAGAGCCCCACCCTAGCACCAGAACCCCTGACCCTGGGGCCATGAATTTCACAATTTAGGTAGAGGGTCCAATGCTTATTACAATCATGCCAACAATTTGACTGCTTGATGTCCAGGAGTAAAGAAGAAGATTTTTAAAGATTGCATCAATTTTGGTGGTTTTAGCCCCACCCCTGGGGCCCCAGGGGGGCAGGGACCATGAAATTTACAATTTTTGTTCCCCTTCACCCATAGATGCTATATGCCAAATTTGGTTGAAATTGGTTGAGCGGTTTTAGAGAAGAAGCTGAAAATGTTCAAAAGTTAACGCACGACGCACGACGGACGACGCACGACGACAGACAAAAACGGATAACAATAGGTCACCTGAGTGACTCAGGTGACCTAAAAACAGGAAATAATCAATGTATAACGACCTTAAATCAAAGTTCACAACCACATCTGTATACACAGGGAGTAAACATTGAATGAAGAAGTTAGAAACTAGTTATTAGTATTAGTAAATTTAATACATGAACATACTAGCATTAACAAACAAATATCTTAATATATAGAGTAAATATCATTCCAATGGAATGTAATTGTATATATTGAGAAAAGCAGTCCTATGGTAGACAAGTTTCAAAGATGATCATGTGGCAAAACCATTAAAAAAAATGATGGAATGTAGTCACACAACCACAGTTTTCTAATTTGCAGAAAAGAATTTGTATCTTCTCGCAGTATATTTTGAATTACGATGGAATTGGGCAACACAACCTCAGTTTGCAAAATATGCAAGACAAAAACGAAAACATTTAGATAAACAAACAGCACCAATGCTATAACAAGAAATCATAAACCTACAAATGAACAGTATCTTAATACATATGTAAATTACAAACAAATCCCAAAGATATTTTTGAAACAAATTGGGTAGAAATTGAATAAATTTCTTTGAAACATAATCTCCAATAAAAATAGCTGCTAATGAGGTAGTATATATACGTGTTACACCAAGCAGAAGCTACAGTAAGCAAAATTACAGATGCATATAAAAATATACATTTATAAAACTACAGTGAAATCACGAGTTTTCCTGGGGATTTAATTTTCCTGTTTCCCTGGTATGAAGAAACCCAAGAATTCACGTCCTTGAAATGTTAAAATATCAAATATGTGACAACTGAACCTTCTTTAACCAAGAAATCAAATTCCCACGACCAATATTTTTTTTTTCTCAAACTCAAACCATGAAAATTTAACCCCATGAAAATAAATGATTTTACAGTAGTTTCCAAACATTTCTTTGGCTCTGTTAAAATCTGTCTTTTTTGAGATTATTTCTTATTCTGACCATATGCTCCAAATTTTCCTTTGAACATATAAACATGAACACTTTGTTTCAGAAAAACGACTATAGCATCTTGGATTCCATTACAATTAGTCCTGAACCTTAAGCCTGTTTTTCTGATTAGGAATTATACTATGTGCCCTGTGCTTGCTAATACTGGTCAACCAAAAACTTGGTTTAAATCTACATTTACAAAAATACTCACTCCATTTTTGAATTTTAGTAGCACTGTTAGTGTAGGAATATACTATTAAAAACAATGTCTAGTGAACATGTATACATGTACCTCAAATAGGAGTTAACTTGTACACACATTGAATTCTATCACAGAGCAGATATAAATCCACTACAATTTATAAATTATTACTGCAAACATGACATTTTAAATCACAACATCATTGTTATTAGCCTCTATCTTTTAAAAAAGTCCAATCAAATCTTTAAAAAAAAACCTTGCATAAATATTTGTTTTTTAATATCACACTGAATGGGTCTTCCAATTCTGCCATTTACATGTATATCAGTTTGAAAAATCTTCTAAAATTCTTCTGTAACATCAGACAAATTGTTCAAGAGTTCAGACATCACTGAATGTTAAATATATTCCACTTTAAAAATTTTTCCAGGCATTGGTCACTTTTTATCACATGTACATGTTCTCCTGTCTGCGATGGTGTGGTGCTATTAACTCCGAGCTCCCCTGTCTTCTGTGATACATTGACAAGTTCTCAGAACTCCCAAGGGTCTGCCCCACCTCTAGGTCTTCTGGGTCCAGAATTGGACCAGTGACTTTACTTGGGGACCCAGACCATGTCTTTCTTCTTTTGGCTCTCTCAACTACAAGAACAAACCATTGTGAAATAATTTAATTCACAAGTCTAGAGTACTATAGAATGCAAATTAATTTTTGAAATATTTCAGTACTTACTTTCCCAGAAAATTAGGTTTTTTGCTTTTTTTTCTAATAAGAAATATCTTCAGATCTTCATAAACAGCACTGATTTTTTTTTTTTTTTTTTTTTTTTTTTTGAATATACAGATATGTAGTTTAAGCAATAAGTATTGTAATGTGGGTATAATTGAAACTTAAATGATACAGAGTATTAAAATTACTGCAATCTCTATTGTCAAGATAGAAATATATACTGTATCATATCCTAGTCATATTACATGTATATAACTTGATTGATATTTAATATGTATATCAGCTAGAATCATGCTTTAATCTATAATACTTGGATTAAAATTCATGCTTTTTTAGAGACAAACTTAATAGAAACCACAACAGATTTAACAGGCAAACATTGTTAAAAATTCATGCTATTCCAATTGATTTTCAAACATATCTTACTTTAACATTTACATCAACATTTCAAATCAATTAACTTAAAATATTAGTTTCCACAGCTAAACTTTGCATTTTTGTATTAAAAGACATATTATTCTGAAATCACTTTGCATGGGATATGGAAAATTAGGTACATATACAATTCATCAGACACATATCAGAAATTCAAAACTACATAGCTGCAAACACAGATTACAAAGTACCCAGTAAAGGAATGTGGTAACACCAGTGTAATTATCAACACTGCAGTGTCAAATGATAATGTTTAGAAATGATGATGAAATTTAATCAATCAATTCCATTTTTCAATTTTTTTCCCCAAATAAAATGATGAAGGAAGTACAAACTATTGATTTTAATTCAGAAAACCTTTGATAAAGTACCAATGGAATCTACAGAGGTGCAAAAATTTCTACAGAGATAAATCATAACAGAGAAAAAATTTAAATCCTTTTATCGAGTTGAGAATTCTTTTTGCATTTCAGGCAGGATAAATCAGTTGTGCTGTCAATAGGCAACAACCAGTGTTAATTAACCAATCAAATTCACAGTTCTATCACCATGGCAACCTTACCTGTTGTAAAAATACCGATCATCATGTGATTTATTTGCAGATGCTATAAGAAATTTTATAAATTATCAAAATTTAATGCTAAAAATTCTCAGTATTGAACATGCACCATAAAATTACCCATAAAAATAAACTTATAGGTAAATGGTGTAACAAAGAAATTTTTCTTCTTTCCTCTTAAAACGATACACTATTGTCTAGCTATTACAGTTAGCAATAAGAGCATTTGATAAATACAAACATGGAAAAAAAATGTGTATAGTATTTAAAAATGGTAAATTCTAGCCCTATTTCTGTTATATACCTTGGATTCGGGGGAACATCTAATGTACACATAAGATATTATGTAAAATAAAGTAATATATGAAATAGAAAAAGAAAAAAATGCAGATTATGTATTTTGGCAAAATATCATGCAATTTGCTTCCAAGTACAGAGAATCAAGCCATGGGTTTGGGATAGGGACACATACCAGCTGCCTGTCGAGATTTGAGGGTGACCTGTTTGGCGAGTTCCTGGCTGACAGCTAGGAGATGAGCGGTTTTGATCTTTTGCTCCTTGGCTTGCTGGTGGATCTCCCCCACCTGACTAACGTCTGGCTGGGAAAGTGAGTGCTGGACACTGAAAAAATGGGAAAATATCAGGTATCTTGCAGGTTGTCTATGAAAATCACCATTACTCACTGTTACAGTAAAAATAAATTTTCAAAATGATTCATCATGATTTTAGTTGTTTAAGGGGATGAAGGACACATGGTCACATGACTTTGTTAAACTACGTCATAGTCTCCATTTATATAAGTGCAAAACGTGTAAAGCATCAGTTCTTGTAAAAAATGTTGACAACTTTTTTTCTTTAATTACCATCTTATATTAAAAAAATAAAAAGTTTAACATTCTTGTAAACATTATCAAATTATGAAAAAAGATTGATCCACTTCTCTGTTTCTTTAAACTGCGTGTCCAACAAGTCGGTGACGTCATACACGATCTGCTAGTACAGCAAGATCATACTCGGTGAATACAAGGGCGGTATTATTATGTAAAAACAGGTCATAATCAGTATATGATGAAGTATTTTGAGAAACGGAGAACACAAAAATTATTTTTGCATGGCTGATGATGGAAATCTTATGTAGGTATATCTTATTTCGCTTATTTAGCTTAGGCGTGACGTCATAGTTGGTTTTTCCCGTACTCGAGAAATGTAAACATGACAAGTTTTTGTCCTGCTTATGTCGTCTTCAACGATGTCCTGTGCAATATTGAGGTCAGCTTCACCATTCGAATTTTTTACAGTTAATCAATAATTTGAAGGACTTGCATTTCAACGCAAATTTAAAAATATTGAATGATAGGATTTTTTGTAAATTACGTTTTTTTGTTGTTTAAGTTGTCTTAAAAAGTTCGTAATTTTCCCTATCCAGATGCAGTGTGATAGATGAAACTTGCCTTTTCGAATTTTAAACCCAATTCATACTCTGAAATATTTTAAAAGATACATGTTCACTTACATATTTTTTATATATGCTTTAAAAATCCAATTATGGACAGAGTAATGAGCCCGGCAACATGGAGAATTAAAACTCCACTTAGATACTGTAGGACATAATATTTGTCAATCAATATCTCTAAATAAGGTAAGAAACCTAATGATATAACTGCTTTAAGATATGTGGGACATACTTAATAAGAAATGTACACAAGAGGCCCAAGGGCCTTAACGGTCACCTGAGCATAATACAACAATTTGGAAGTTAAATACACTAATAGATGAAGCTTTGTTGCCCTAAAGCAAGAGAAGTAGGAAGATCAGGATCAACAAAATAATTAGTCTAGTATTCAGTATCAACTCATAAATTAAGTTCTATTAGTGCTTCAGTACTATTTTTAAACCCATATTAAGAGCTCTAGCATTGACCTCTCTTACGGTCTTTGAAGAACTTTTAATAAGATAAGTTATTTTTGTCTCATTTTTATTTATCTATTACTTACAGGTCAACCTGATTATTAAAACTAAGAAAATACTTTTTGAATTATATGATAAACATTCTTGCATAATTATCTTATTCTATTAACCTTTCAAATACATTATTTACAGTGATTAATTATCAAAGGTGAATGGAAAAGGGGAATAACTTCTCTCAGTAGAATACAAATTAATAGAGCCCTGCCCAGGACTAGAATGCTTGGACAAATGGTCCAGATGTTCAAAAGTCTGGTAGAAATACGCTTACTTATATCATTTAAACTTTTACTCAGTTTTCTTCCAATATGCCCAGAAGCAGAGAAGAATTTCACAGGTACAATGCATTTTCACTACAGATTCAACAAAACCTTACCCTAACACCAGAACCCAAGACCAAGGGTCAAGAAATTTACAAATTTGGAAGAGTTACCCTCATCATCATACCTATGGACTTCAAAGAATTAACACTTTTTCACTATATAATCAATAGAGCCCCCCCCCTCCTTCCTCAAGAACCCCAAAAACTGAAGCCATATATTTGAAAATTTTGGAAGAGGCATCCTTGCCTATCATAATCATGCACTTAGTTTGTTTAAATAATCTCCAGTAGCAGAGAAGAAGATTTTCAAAGAATCAATGCATTTTCACTATGTAATCAATAGAGTCCCGTCCTAACACCAGAACCCCTGTCCCTGGGGCCATGAAATTCACAATTTTTGAAAAGGCATCTTTATGCATCATAACCATGCACTTAGTTTGTTTTAATAATCTCCAGTAGCAGAGAAGACGATTTTCAAAGAATCAATGCATTTTCACTATATAATCAATAGAGCCCCGCCCTAACACCAGAATCCCTGACCCTGGGGCCATGAAATTCAAAATTTTCAAAAAGGCACTTTTGCTCATCATAACTATGTACTTAGTTACTTTCTTTAATACCCAGGAGCAGAGAAGAAGATTTTCAAAGAAGTAATGCATTTTCAATAGATAATCAATAGAGCCCCGCCCTAACACTAGAACCCCTGACCCTGGGGCCATGAATTTCACAATTTTTGTAGAAGCACTCTTGCTCATCATAACTATGTACCTAGTTACTTTATTCAATACCCAGGAGCAGAGAAGAAGATTTTCAATGAATTAATGCATTTTCATTATATAATCAATAGAGCCCTGCCCTTACACCAGAACCCCTGACCCTGGGGCCATGAATTTCACAATTTTGGAAGAGGCACTCTTGCTCTTCATAACTATATACTTAGGTACTTTATTAAATACCCAGGAGCAGAGAAGAGGATTTTCAAAGAATTAATGCACTTTCACTATATGATCTATATAGCCCCACCCTGGGGCCAGAACCCCTGACCCTGGGGCCGTGAATTTCACAATTTTGGAAGAGGCACTCTTGCTCTTCATAACTATGTACTTAGTTACTTTATTTAATACCCAGGAGCAGAGAAGAAGATTTTCAAAGAAATAATGCACTTTCACTATATGATCTATATAGCCCCACCCTGGGGCCAGAACCCCTGACCCAGGGGCCATGAATTTCACAATTTCGGAAGAGGCACTCTTGCTCATCATAACTATGTACTTAGTTACTTTATTTAATGCCCAGGAGCAGAGAAGAAGATTTTCAAAGAATTAATGCACTTTCACTATATAATCAATAGAGCCCCACCCTAACACTAGAACCCCTGACCCTGGGGCCATGAATTTCACAATTTCGGAAGAGGCACTCCTGCTCATCATAACTATGTACTTAGTAACTTTATTTAATACCCAGGAGCAGAGAAGAAGATTTTCAAAGAAATAATGCACTTTCACTATATGATCTATATAGCCCCACCCTGGGGCCAGAACCCCTGACCCAGGGGCCATGAATTTCACAATTTCGGAAGAGGCACTCTTGCTCATCATAACTATGTACTTAGTTACTTTATTTAATGCCCAGGAGCAGAGAAGAAGATTTTCAAAGAATTAATGCACTTTCACTATATAATCAATAGAGCCCCGCCCTAACACCAGAACCCCTGACCCTGGGGCCATGAATTTCACAATTTTGGAAGAGGCACTCTTGCTATTCATAACTATGTACTTAGTTACTTTATTTAATACCCAGGAGCAGAGAAGAAGATTTTCAAAGAAATAATGCACTTTCACTATATGATCTATATAGCCCCACCCTGGGGCCAGAACCCCTGACCCAGGGGCCATGAATTTCACAATTTCGGAAGAGGCACTCTTGCTCATCATAACTATGTACTTAGTTACTTTATTTAATGCCCAGGAGCAGAGAAGAAGATTTTCAAAGAATTAATGCACTTTCACTATATAATCAATAGAGCCCCGCCCTAACACCAGAACCCCTGACCCTGGGGCCATGAATTTCACAATTTTGGAAGAGGCACTCTTGCTATTCATAACTATGTACTTAGTTACTTTATTTAATACCCAGGAGCAGAGAAGAAGATTTTCAAAGAAATAATGCACTTTCACTATATGATCTATATAGCCCCACCCTGGGGCCAGAACCCCTGACCCTGGGACCATGAATTTCACAATTTTGGTAGAGGGCTCACTGCTTATTACAATGATGCCAACAGTTTGACTGCTTGATGTCCTGGAGTAAAGAAGAAGATTTTTAAAGATTGCATTATTTTTGGTGGTTTTAGCCCCACCCCTTAGGCCCCAGGGGGGCAGGGACCATGAAATTCACAATTTTTGTTCCCCTTCACCCATAGATGCTATATGCCAAATTTGGTTGAAATTGGTTAAGCGGTTTCAGAGAAGAAGCTAAAAATGTTCAAATGTTAACACACGACGCACGACGCACGCCGACGGACGAGAACGGATAGCAATAAGTCACCTGAGTGACTCAGGTGACCTAAAAAGTTAGATCAAACTCAAGGTCAAAGTCATGAGAACAAAAATGTTGGTCCAGAAAGAATTGTCTTTTCAAGTGAACCGTTAAAAAGTTTTGGGCAAGGTTAAAAAGTTTTTACGGGCAAACTGCAGAACTGTAGGTCTCCGGAAAAAAATATTGGCAGACGTCGTCCATCCCAATATTTATCAGAGCAGTGAGCTACGGATCTTCAGCAAGGACGGGTCTAAAATATACGAAAGAAAAAAAATGTTTTGATTCATCAGGGACCTCAATGAAAGTACATAATAATCAGGTCTCGGTTTATAGTACTCTCAGAATGCTTGTTTAATTCGGCTTCTCATTGGAAATTCAGGCATTAAATAACAGTACTAGGAGTATTACTGTTCCATCCTTCTTAAGCCACACAGTTTCCCAAAGAAAACAAATTCGAAAATCTGGGAAGAAATGACAACAGAATAAACATACTTTCCAAGCAATCCAAAGTTTTAATGTCCAGGGTATTAATTTTTTTTTATCTAAATGTCGAAGATTTATTTCGATGCAATATAAACACATAAAGCTGTTAAATATACTATGTACTGGCACGTAGCATCGCGAGGGGGGGGGGGATGCCCCCTCCTCCCACTTTTTTTTTCCAGACATAACTTTTTACTATTGAAAATATTCTTTAAAAGGCCGGACCCTCCTTCCCCATTGTTGCAGTTTAGTGAAATTAAGGTTAATTTAGTATTAAATATATGTATAGAATTTGGTACTGAAAGAAATTGAACCCCCCATGAAATTGGAATATCGAGTTTGGAAATTTTACTTTCTGATGCCCCCGTATCGAAGATTCTGGGGTATACTGACTTGACCTTGGAGTTTGACTCAGTTTTACAAAATGTTACCCAACTTTAACCTTGGCCATAACTTTTCAACAGTTGGTACTAGGACTTTCATACTTCACATAAGTAATCATTGTGACAAGACCTTCCTTCGGATACCAACATCTTTGACCTTTTGACCTAGGACGTAGGTGTTTGACCTACTTTTGAAAAACTTTAACTTTGGCAATAACTTTTGACCAGTAGGTGCTACATATGTAGGGCTTTCATACTTCACAAGTGTACTCCTTGGGACAAGACCTTCCTTTGGACACTAACAACTTTGACCCTTTGACCTTGACCTAGGAGTTTGACCTATTTAAAAAAAAAAAAACCTTGGTCATAACTTTTGAACAGTTGGTGCTAGGGCTTTCATACTTCACATATGTAATCCTTGTGACAATACCTTACTTTAGATACCAACAACTTTGACCCTTTGACCTTGAAGTTTGACCAACTTTTGAAAAACTTTAATCTTGGCCATATCTTTTGAACCGTTGGTGCAGGGGCTTTCATATTTCACGTGTATTTCTTGTGAGAAGGCCTTTCCTTGGGCACCATTAATTTTGACCATTTGATCTTGACATACTTTTGAAAAACTTTAACGTTTTCCATATCTTTTCAATAGTTGCTGCTACGGCTTTAATATTTCTTAGGTGTATTCCTTCGGATGAGACCGTATAAACCGAGGTCCCGTGTCACAGTAGGTGCTGGCACGAAAAAGATCCCTCACTGCTCAATGGCCGTAAGTGCCGAGTACAGGACAAAATTTGCAGCTCTCCACCGACAAGTGGTGGCGTCTCCATATGAGTGAAAAATTCTCGAGAGGGACGTTAAACAACATACAAACAAAAAAAATCCATTATCAGGGGTATTCTGGTAATGTCCTTCAAGGCAATTCCATTTTGGTTCATGGACTTGAAGTAACCCTGTTCTAGAGTGACAATGACAAAAATCAACTTTAAAGCAAGATTTATGGTTAACGCCACGAATGCCTCCGCAAGCAGCCAAAATTTCAAATACAATATTTAGTTTAAAAGGATGACTGCAGTTAAGGGCATGCGAAATTTGCGACAAAATAAACTTTCAAAACGAGCATTTTCCTTTTCATTGCAAGAATGGTCAACATCCAATCTACAACTTTATGTAATTACATTTAATGAAAGTGTGTATTTATGAAGTTCGAATCTGTTTTCAAAGGCAGGAGTCATCACAATTTCTTGAACCTCCATTCGATAATGAGGACGCCCACTTTTTTACTGACTTTATACATAGTCAGCGCATGTTTGTCTATTGTTCTACCTTTAACAGTAATTGTATATTTGCATAAATAATAATGTGTCAAAAGGAGATTAAGGGAGCTCTAAACACTAATGAAAAATGCTTTTTGGACTTTGAGAAAAATATGTCATATAAAGGTGCACATATTCAGTGTATCTAGTTCATTTTCAACATAGGGTGCCTGCTTTATTTATGCAGGAAAAATGTTTAAAGACAATGAACTATTTGTGAACAGAAATCACTGTTGTTTACTTGCATCGGGAAAATGAATGGAAATAATGTATTCAATTACTTAATCTTGGTCTAACACAACATTAAGAATACTTTAATTCATAAGAAATTGTGTCATTAACTGTAGATTCCCATTTATTCTATTTTTCTTCTAAGGGCAGTTCACTCTAACTCAATAAAACTACCCTACAAATAGAACTCTTTAGTGCGCAGTGTTTAGAGCTTCCTTAATAGACAACGCTCATGGTTAAGAAGAGAAAAAAACTGCGTCTTCTTACATTAATTTTGCTCTCTGTGTTGTAACCAAGGATTGTGACATGTTGAATATTATAATTCACCACGTGATTTCTCCTCAGATAACTTTGTGAATACTAAATTCCATCACGTGACTTGTAAGGTAGCATGTTTTGTGATAACTAGGATTATTGTGTTCGAACACGTTAAATCATCTGGAATTGATATAAAATCTGCTTTAATTACATTGACATGCTCATGTTTTTAATTTCGTTTTGAAACCTTTGTCAGAAGTGTATATGTGCCATACAGAATGGAGAGGGAGATTGGAAAGAGTGATCACGTTCGCTTTTCCAAACAATGAAAGAGTGATCACGTTCGCTTTTCCAAACAATCTAGTCTAATTTTAGACCAATTCTTACAATGTTAGCTCCACCTCTCATGCATACCTAATGTTCAGTCAAGGGCAGGTAAGTGTAAATTCACTATATTTGGAAAGCAGTAAGGACAAAAAACATTGAATCATTTTAATGTATCACAGTCTAAAATCATTTTTAGGGTTCCAAATTGACAGGATTCTTTCATAAACATACAAAAGTGAAATAAGGTTTAAATATAAAAGCAAAAGAAGCAACCGAAAAAGACCCCAAAACAGGCGTTAAGTGCAGTCATCCTTTGTCTTCAAACTTGACCCGTATTTTCTGATAAAATACTTGCTTATGCAATTTCAACCTTTTACATACATCCCTACAAAAAAGTTAGAGAGTGGAAACTGAACATTTCTTTTTTTACTAAGTTTAAGAGGATAACTCTGTCAAAATGATCGGATCATGACCAAATTCGAACTTGACCTGCGTATTCCTAAGACGTATTCATATGTCAAATTTGAGTTGAATGTGTGCAACTGTTGCAGAGATAATGAACGGGAAGTGAATGATGACATAATGACGAAACAGGGTAACACTAAATACCTCGGCCATTTCATGGCGGGGGCATAAAAAAATTAAATAAATTAATTTTATCATATCGACTTATAGCACCTAGACTAGAGGCAGAGGTGTGGATCGAATCATTAACAATGCGTCTTCAGTTTGAACAGGGTTTCTTATACTCAGTAATTTTAGTTTTTGGAGGAGGTTATAGAAAAAGAAGACTTATTTAATAACTACTGAAAATAAAACTGTTTCATTTAACAACTTTTTCTCTTGTATTATCTTACCAGGCATCATGTGACGACGCATATTTTCATCCTGTAGGTCTACGTATTTTTTTTTATTAATAAAAATTTCGGTAAAATTGATAGGTATGCGAACTCCTGTGGTCAGCACATAGTACTCATTAACGCTGAAACCAACCATCGTCAATAAATAATCGTATCCTCAGAACATTATTTCTCAAGATATCGCAACCATTAAAAATACGATTTTCTTTCTTATGAAGAAGCATTTTCTACTTTAAAAAAAAATGAAAATATGATCATAACCCTCCCATTTCATAAATATAAGACAGCGAAAAAAAAAATGAACGCAATTTCCTTTTCTGTCTGGCGTTTGATCCGCGCTAGATTCATACATGTACTAAATAATCATTTTACTATTTTAAAGTTGAGACTTTTATTCATTAAAAAATTGATTTAAAAAAAAAAAAAAAAGAAAGTGAGATTTAATATAAGTCACTTATCAGTTTTCATTCAATTCCTGGAATAAAGTGTTGATTTATGAAATGTACATATTTGCAAAGTTGAACGTTTGAAGTATTGTCTTTGGTGACAGTCACCAAGGACAATCACCCCATAGAAGTGTAAAGTCATAAACATGATTTATCATTTTTAATATTTTTTTCTATCAGAAAGTCATTCACACTAAAATTCTAAAAACATCAACAAAAAAGTCAACATATTAATATCATCTGTCAATGATATATAGCTACCAGAAATAAAACATTTGTAGCTTATCTACGTTAGTGTTTCTTTTCTTGCAGGAAAGCATTGAGTTTGTCCAACATGAAAGGAAATGTCCAAGTGAGATATTTAGGAAAGAAGTTAAAATAGGTCAAAACATAAAATATACAAGTATTTCTGTAGAACCAGAGAGAAACCAGAAGTTTCCGATGAGACTGTAGCTCTTCTGGTTTGTATTTATAACAAAGTAAGAGAAAATCATCATTTGCACTTTAAACTAAGCAATAACAGCAATAAAGAGAATAATGGTCCTTGGTTAAGTCTCTTTGTGGTAATGTTTATAGCAATCAGATTAAAACCGTTGGAGGAGTAACCTTTTGAAATTATTTCACAGAAATTATTTTAGTGACCATGGCATGACCATTCATCAAAACCTGATATAAAACAAGCTAATTCAGAGAATTTGTGTCCCCCGCTTAGGGGAAAAAGAAGAGCATGCGCAGTTCGGGGGGGGGTCGGGTCGGACTCCCCCCTTGATTTGTAGAATTATTAAATGTATACATGCATATTGAAGAAAATAAAAAATGCCAATATGGATATAAAGATTTGATTCCTTATTCTTTAATATGTGTATAGAAGATTCTTTTTGTATAGAATATTTATCACACTGTAACAATGATATTATGAGTCTGTAAAAGCCAGACATCATAACTTTTTTATTTCACATGCTGCACCCCTACTAATGCTATTGTGATTTAAATTCAAGACACGTGGTGTAGGTTGACCCATTCTAAGGTTATAGGGTAGAACCGGTTTTATAAATAAAATTGGCAGTAAACAGGAAATTGCTATAATCTATTTCTTTTTAAAAACATGTCCTATAAAAATGTGTTTCCAGGATTTTGTGAAAGGTTTTTAAGATTTTAAACTGAAATGAGTGGGATTTTAAAAATTACAATCTACTTAATTATTTGTTTTGCTTTTGTGATAATTTACGACGAAAACTGGAGCTTTACGGGATATGTCGCGTGTAAAGAACTTACATGTAGTGTGAGCTTATCTCACTAAACAAGTACTGCTAGGCAGTATTGAAAGGCGTCTTTGATTGTTCTACAAAGTCATCGGCGCTTTGTTTGAGTCTCAAAATATTCACTCATCATGCAGTCAAAGACGAAAGTTTGTATTTTTATCTCTGTTTTTGCCTAATAATAAAAATTGACCAAGCATGTTTTAATTAGACAGAACATCGAGCATTACAATGCAATGTATTGTGGGACAGTTATATTCTTATTTAAAAGCAAAATTAATTAGCTTGCAATTAAAGAACTTCACTCGACACTCCAATTTTCCTCAGCATGTTTCACAAATATCCATATCAGTCTTTCAATAAAAAAAAAATCAGCAAAAGTAACTGTTCTTTGGTGAGAACTTAGCTCTAAGTACTGTTATCAGAATATATTCTGTTTATCCTTCCTGGTGCTTATCTGCATCACTCTCCAAATTTACACTCATCAGTCAAACACGAGATTTCTCTCTTTTTCAATCTTTCATATACCCAAACTAGGCGTTGCATAAAATAATAAACAGCAATGAAAAAATTTGTCGAAAAATCCTTCGATATTATTACTGCATTGTTAATTTAGATTGGTATGAAAGAAAACAATCATATAAGAAAATGTGAATGGAAATATTCCATCCAGTCTGTTTTTCAAAACTTTTTTAAAATAAAAATATATTAGAAAATAAGTCAATTTACACCTTATTTTCAATATCATAATGTAAAACAAAAATGGACTTCATTTTATTGATTGACATTGCATTGTAGTGCAGTGCAATAAAATGCAGTTAAATTCTTATTATGGTAAACAACTTATAAATTCTCTTGCAAACAAAAAAATCCACTCATCAGTCAAAAAGGAGTGTTCATTTCATTTGGATCTTTTCCGCATACTCAAACTAGTCATTCGATAAAAAAAGAAACAACCCATTAACACGTAACTTTGCGAAAGTCCTTCGACTTAATTACTGATTGTTAATTTTGATTCATATCAAAGAAAACAAATATTTAAGAATAGGAGAATAAAAGAAATGCTCTCTAGTCTGTTTTTGAAACCTTTTTTCCCAAAGCATAAAATGAAGAAAAAGGTGTGTGTATTCAATCAGTTTTTAAATTCAATTAAGAAAAAAAATTGACTAACTAGTTAATTTTGATTGGACAATTTGGCAGGCATCACAATGTATCGCATTGTATTGCAGCAGAGTGCGGTATGGTGCAATTCTGCTTGTATTTAAACAAGCACAATTATTTTACTTGTCAATGTATTAGAAATATTCCCCACTATCCATCCTCCAAAGACAGCTTTTATCTACAATTAGTTAAAAAGGAGTGTTGATTTCTTTTGGATCTTTTCCGCATACTCAAACTAGTCATTCGACAAAAAAGCCCAGTAACACATAACTTTGCGAAAGTCTTTCGACTTAATTACTGATTGTTAATTTTGATTCATATCAAAGAAAACAAATATTTAAGAATAGGAGAATAAAAGAAATGCTCTCTAGTCTGTTTTTGAAACCTATTTTTTTCCAAAGCATAAAATGAAAAAAAAAAAGTGTGTGTATTCAATCAGTTTTTAAATTCAATTAAGAAAAAAAAATTGACTAAGTTAATTTTGATTGGACAATTTGGCAGGCATCACAATGTATCGCATTATATTGTAGCAGAGTGCAGTATGGTGCAATTCTACTTGTATTTAAACAAGCACAAATATTTTACTTGTCAATGTATTAGAAACATTCCCCACCATCCACCCTCCAAAGACAGCTTTTATATACAATTTGTACTTGTGATTGAATGTTTATTTGGAAATTTGCATATTGTAAGTTTTGTTTCAAAGTTCGAGAACTCAAATTATGTCCCTTTGAACTACGTAGACAAAACGATCATTGATTTCTGCTTTATATTATGTAAATGTTTAAGCAATGCTAACGAGTAGCAGGCTTGTACACTATATATAAGACATTAGAGAGCCATTCACAAATGACAATGTGTTAAAGTCAGAGTAAATAACGGTTACGGGTAATGTGGCGTGTAAAGGACTTAGTGTGAGCTTATCTCACTAAACAAGTACTGCTAGGCAGTATTGAAAGGCGTCTTTGATTGTTCTACAAAGTCATCGGCGCTTTGTTTGAGTCTCAAAATATTCACTCATCATGCAGTCAAAGACGAAAGTTTGTATTTTTATCTCTGTTTTTGCCTAATAATAAAAATTGACCAAGCATGTTTTAATTAGACAGAACATCGAGCATTACAATGCAATGTATTGTAGGACAGTTATATTCTTATTTAAAAGCAAAATTAATTAGCTTGCAATTAAAGAACTTCACTCGACACTCCAATTTTCCTCAGCATGTTTCACAAATATCCATATCAGTCTTTCAATAAAAAAAAAATCAGCAAAAGTAACTGTTCTTTGGTGAGAACTTAGCTCTAAGTACTGTTATCAGAATATATTCTGTTTATCCTTCCTGGTGCTTATCTGCATCACTCTCCAAATTTACACTCATCAGTCAAACACGAGATTTCTCTCTTTTTCAATCTTTCATATACCCAAACTAGGCGTTGCATAAAATAATAAACAGCAATGAAAAAATTTGTCGAAAAATCCTTCGATATTATTACTGCATTGTTAATTTAGATTGGTATGAAAGAAAACAATCATATAAGAAAATGTGAATGGAAATATTCCATCCAGTCTGTTTTTCAAAACTTTTTTAAAATAAAAATATATTAGAAAATAAGTCAATTTACACCTTATTTTCAATATCATAATGTAAAACAAAAATGGACTTCATTTTATTGATTGACATTGCATTGTAGTGCAGTGCAATAAAATGCAGTTAAATTCTTATTATGGTAAACAACTTATAAATTCTCTTGCAAACAAAAAAATCCACTCATCAGTCAAAAGGGAGTGTTCATTTCATTTGGATCTTTTCCGCATACTCAAACTAGTCATTCGATAAAAAAAGAAACAACCCATTAACACGTAACTTTGCGAAAGTCCTTCGACTTAATTACTGATTGTTAATTTTGATTCATATCAAAGAAAACAAATATTTAAGAATAGGAGAATAAAAGAAATGCTCTCTATTCTGTTTTTGAAACCTTTTTTTTCCCAAAGCATAAAATGAAGAAAAAGGTGTGTGTATTCAATCAGTTTTTAAATTCAATTAAGAAAAAAAATTGACTAACTAGTTAATTTTGATTGGACAATTTGGCAGGCATCACAATGTATCGCATTGTATTGCAGCAGAGTGCGGTATGGTGCAATTCTGCTTGTA